CACACACACACACACACCCGCCCTTTGCATGCTTCCAGGACGCTCCTCACATGCAAATCACTCGAAAGGCGTACAGTTTGTGTTGAATATACACGTCTCAAGATGAGAAGCTGAGCAGTAAAAAAAAGATCTTGTGAGCTTTTTTGACAAATATTATAAATACTAATTTGGAGGAGACTTTTAGTATTCACTTCCTGTTCCTTGAAAAACAGAAACTTCATCTTCAGATAGAAAATGAAAAGACTGTTGAGTCAGCATTAATGAATAGCTATAAATGATGGCAAAGGGAAAACCCTACTGTTTTGTCGTAACTATACTTATTAAATAATACAGCACATTTTAATGTGTACTGCTATCCAGCCAACCTGACATGCAGTCTCAAAATTAGCAGTGTAAAAAAACGTAAACTATTGTCTTTTCAAAGGATAGAAATTTAATTCAGAATTCTCAAATGAGCATTAAGAGATTGGAGAGATTATATTATTGTAAGGTACTGTACATGTGTATGTCCTCATCTATAATAAGCTATCTTTGCATTTTTCCACAAAGGACAAGTATTTCCACTAAAGTTTTGTCCTACACATTGAGTTCCCAGAACTATTCAAATTTACCCCTAAATATTACTAACTGCATGATTTAGCAGCCACATGATAAACTTACATGTTGAAGACAGAGAAGATACCAAAATACAGCAACAGATTGATTTTGATAGATCACAAAATTTAATTTAATCTGCTAAAATATCATGATGCCTAGGAAATCAGTTTTTTGCCCTTTGTTAAACACACACTTGAACACTTGTTTCCATTTAAGAGTAGATGTACTTCATCTGGACCAGATGTTACTTCTCATGCCGTTGAAGACATTTGGCACATATATGGTCTGCACAAGCTCAGTATCATGTTACTTTTAATGCTTGAACAGAGTGGTGATTTGAGCACTTATTGTAATTTAGTGGACCTTGGTGTGGGTGTTCATCTGTGGGTGGGCGAACGGAATTAAATGCATCTATCGCTGCTGTCATTGTGAGCAAATTGTCTCACCCTGCCTTGTTTTTGTTTTATCCTGATATATTTTTTTTGTGTGCGCTCTCCACAGTTTTGGCAGGCAGCTGGGGGGCAGGCGAGGCTGTGAATGTCTCATTTTGGAGCCATCAGAAATGATTGTGGTGAGTATAGATGCTGTATTATGCTCTCCTTTTATTTTAGATGTGTTCTCCCTTTTTTCTCTCCCAGAGCACCTCACTTTTATCCTCCTACTCCTCCCTTCTCTGGCCTTTGATATTAGTCCTCTTTTTCATCTTTGATGTTTACATTTTATTTCACTTCATTCTTCTCCCGTATGCCCTTTTTCTGTTTTATATTGTTTCTTCTGTCTCTTCCATCACTGCAATATTGCTTAAATCTAAAAATATTGGTACATTTTCTCAAATAGAAGCTCTGGAAGCTGTTTAAGTGTCACATTTGTTTACATGAATATCCATATTAAACGTCTGATAGTTCAAACCCAGCTTGCTTTTCGATCTCCACATTGCTGGTCTGTCATGATGTGAAATGGATGACAGTTAAACAATGGATACCCTATGGCTTCCCTTCAAAATACGTTGTCACAAGAGCAAAGTCCCCAGAGAATCTTACCTTGCAGGCTTCAAGCTGTTTGTGTCGGAGCTAAAGCTGTTTTTGACATTTTTGCTCCCAGTTTTGGAAGGTATTGGTTATGATTTACCGTTATTTATTCAGGCAAGTCCCGTTGAGATCTGTGAATTTTCCAGGCACATAGTTCAACTCTATACCACAATCAAGTAACTACCTTCAGTTGTTATAAAAATGCTGCACATACTGTATGAAAAATAAATTTGACTTTGTATCACAGCATCTAAAAGTCTTGAAATTGGCCTCTGTCTCTTGGAGAACTTCATACCTACGGAGCTAGAAGCACTTTTTTTCTCTAAAGTTCAAAACTCTAAGATGTTAAAGCGAAAATGTAGAGTTACTTATATGTTTAAAAACTTTCATCCGGGATTTATTTTTTCTACAAAACAGCCGACATTAGTTTTGCCTGGAGAAAAGTGATGAAACCTCATCATTAGACTGACTGTCACCCGTTTACTTAAAACTGAGGCAACAATGTGCAACATTTTCATGTTGGTTTTTCCTCCTGTCTTCTTCTTGTACTCTAACAATATTGAAGTATTCATATTTGGTCCCTGTGGTGTGTCTGAAATGAAGTTATTCCCTTTCTTGTTTACAGGAAGTCGTGCTACCTCTAAAGGCAAAAATAATAGGCTAATGAACTTTGTTTTTAATTCTTGAAGAGATTTTGTTTTTCATCTGAAGAGCTTTCCTAATTCTTATTTCTTATACATCAGTATTAGCCAGACATTATCAAGAATTGTTAAATATTTAATACATCTTTTAAAATGATGATAGAAATAAATATCTTGTCTGAAAAAATATGTCAAAAAGAAAAAAGAAAAAAATGACAAAAAGGAAGAACGGAAATTGTGAATAGAAGAAAGAAGGATGGGAACACCTGAGCTAAAATGAATGCAAACGCAGGGTAGGTGGTATTGATCAATTTCATATCACAGCGTAAGCTAGAAAATACTACAGTATACAGTAGTATTGGGAGGGGGGTAGATTCTGTGCTGTTTTGAGTAATAATTAATTAACAAACAGCTGCTTGTGAATATTTACTCAGCCGGGGGGGGGGGGGGGGGGGGGGTGTAATTGACTTCAGCTGTTCTGACATTGCTGTCATTCATATTAGCAGGAGAGGAGTCACAGAAGAGATTTTCCCCTTTTATTATGTCGAACAGATCAAAATAAGTTCAAATATGTTTTTTTAAGGTTTAAGTTAAAAAATAATCTGACTTTTACCATGGTTGTATCCACGCTGTGAGGAATGTCAGTACCAATAAAGTTTGTAGTCATTTTCTCGTCTGCTGCGAGGAACTTGCGGGGCTCTGGAAAAAAATAAAAATTAAAAATCACCAAAAGTTTACATTTGAAAGGAGTCCAGATATTTAAAACCCTGGCCTGGGTGGTCCCTGAAGCTGACAGCACCAGCCGATCCATCTTTTCACTCAGAGATTTTTGTTTTGTTTTGTTTTACCTTGTTCGGAGGTTAAGAGGCACAACAGATGGGTGTATCTCTGCTTCCCCCGCATTTGTCTCCTAAATGAGCTGAAGTGGTCCGAACATGCATCAGTAATGTTATGGGGYGTCTTCTGAAAGAGCCTCAAATGTTTATGTCCCACTTTTCATAGTAGCCTTCACCTCACAAGACTCACATTGTTTTTATATACAATCACCATACTTTGATACCGTGATATAACAAAATACCTTCATACTGCCCAAGCCTATGCAAATGGTAAAAAGTTGAGAACGTAGGAGAAAGTTTGACAAAGTTGGAAGGAATGAAATGAAAGAAAAGAAGGAAAGGAAGGGAGCACATGAAGAAAAGAAAGAAAAAAGTACACATTGTAAAATAATTGCTCTTTAATGACCAACTGGTGACTTACGTGTAAAGTATCCAGAACAGAGCAGGCCTGGAAATATGATACATTAATGTGTAAAAAACAATAGTTTCCATTTCATTTATACACCCAGTGACTTATTACCTCCTCTGAACTTTTCCACAAGCTAGAAGTCTGTTGTCTTACGACAAGAATTTGTAATTTGAAAGATTACTTACACTGTGGGAAAAATATTAAATATATTTTGATGTTGTGACCACCCTAAGTCTTGTTTGACTAGTCAGCAACACTGAAGGGTGCTCATAGATCCAGGCACGTTAGAACCTAACTTTCATTAAAATTCCCCACAATGGAAGAGGTTTATAAGAGTCAGGTGCTCTTTCGGCAGGACATTTAATCCTAAATTACCCCTCTGGGTGTATTCAGAAGCTGTTACAGTTGTAAAAGAGAGCCGTGCTGCTGACCATCTTAAAGGTTCTTGTGATGCTGTTTGAGTGTAAAGCAGGGTTTTCCAGAAAAATAACCAGTTAGCTCAGTTCAATTAGTTTCCTGGGTTGCAAAAAAATAACAATAGACAGTTTGATTAATAGCTATGTTTCACCTTTGAATTAAACTTGCCTTAATGGTTGCAGAAACCTTTTCTAGGAACTATGGTATCTTTTTGGGCTATTCTTTGACTCCCWACATGTCAACTACTGAAACCCAAGGCAAAGCAGAAACCTTCCCAGGGGAGAAATCTTACCTAAGAAAACAGCCTCAGTAGTTAGGCAGCACTTTCAAGACTAGCCAAAACCGGTGGGGCTTTGTGTTGATAAGCAGTCAAATCAAGTGTCTGTTAAACATTTCAAAAATTAAATCCTACCAGTTCAACCTATTCTCAAAGACTGAAAGCTTTGATATTTTCCTTTACGTTTATCTCCTGGCAAAGCTTTGTTTTACACCATTTGAGAATCCTGTGGATTTCAACCTTTAAGTTTGATTTTAAACGATACAGCGCTGTGCTGTGACTAGGGATGTAGCTATTCACTCATGTCCTGATTTGATTCGATTATCAGTTTTAAGTTCACTATTATGATTATTTTGTTTGTAGCCAATCATATCCATTTTACAACCAAATATATTTCTTTTATTTTAACATCAGCATTTTTGTCCTTGTATCAAACTGTCTGTTGTCTTAGTACCAGAATATAACCTCAAAATAAATAAAATGTCATCACAAATTATTTTGTGTCTAAACATTAAGTATCAAACTGAATATGTCTTAGAGATGTAACTGTTATATAACTGTTACTGTTATACAACAACAATTAACTTTATTTAATTCATTTTTACAAATCAATTCACACTTCATGCAGTTAATCGATTATGAAAACATTATCAGTTGTTACATCCCTAGCTGTGACCATGGCTGACAGAAGTAAATAACAAGTATTTTAACCAAATTTAGAAAAGCACCTTATCAGTGTGCCAAGATCATCAGTTAGAAACATTAGAAGGAATTACAAAGAAAAACTAATGAAACTCTCAGTAACACAAGTAGGCACAAACATGCCTTCAACTACACAGTTCTAGATGAGTGCACAAACACACAGGACAGGGGGATTCTGGTCTAGTCATGCTGCACTGCAGCCAATCAGCTAATTGGGGCCATGGGAATTGTTGAGGGAATGTGATCTGTGGCTGCCATCATGACTCTGGTCACGGGACAGATGGGAGCGACATTCACAAGGCAGGGTTGTTCCTGTGTGTGTGAGTTGGGAATGGAGGGAAATGAATTAGACAGGAATAATGGTAGTGTAAATACACAAAAATAGAGGTGATGCATAATAGACAACCCGTCAGATAGAGAGGAATGTAAACCAACTGAGACAACATGAAGTTCTTTACACACTCTTTTATGTAATTAGGAAATTTGGTCAGCTTGCATTAGCTTGTGGTGTTTGACTAAATTGTGTGGTTATAGTTGAAGCTGCAAACCGTGCTTTCATGGTGAGACAAAGAGATAAAAATGTGGCATATTTTTAACCTTCACCTCCAGCATTTCTTCTCTGCTAGCTCCAGGCTGTCTGTCTCATGAGGCCCATTACAACAAAATGACATTTCCTTGGCTGTGAAAGGAGACACATCTTTACCAATTTTGGCCCCTTTTATAGTTATTTATTGTTTTATAGAAATATGCTTCATTCATTTGTTTGAAAAGTGTTACCCTTAAATTAATCACAGTGCTGTAGTTGTGTATCCTAACAAAACTCTTAAATGTGATTGTTTTTGTTGTTTTAACTTATAGCATCAACTGAGTCCCATTTTACCGGTGACAGAAAATCTCTGGGCTTGCTTTTTTCCCACTTTTTTWAAAAGCTTTTTCCTTATTGATTGACAAGTCTGTCACAAGTCAGAAACAAACTATAATATTTTTATTCTTTCGGCCTGTATTGATCTTTTGTCACATGTCAAAACACTGAAAACTTTGTCTTCTTCTATCTTTGGCCATTGCCTTCTACATTTCTCTGAGCACAAACACAGTAGTCATTATTATTACTTATTGTGGCCGTCATGGGTTTTTATAAATAAGACGTCTGTGAATGAATGCACATGACTGACCTTAGGCAAGAATACACCACGCTTACTAACAAAGACCCCGTTTGTGGTGTAAATTTACTAAGACAGAATTTTTATATCCCGTATGATGCGCTTTTTTCATCGTTACCTTAAGGGGGTAAATCAAAGAAATAAGAAAATATTTTAAATCATTAGAATTTTTTCTGTGTGTGGTGGACTTGCTAAATGTCCAGGGTGTACCCTACCCCTCGCACAGTGACTGGTGGATATGGGTACCAGTGACCCTCATGACCCTTAAAGGAAGAAACATGTAATATAATTGATGGATGGATGGATGGATAAAAAACTTTCTATTATTGTTAAAAATGAAAGTTCTCCTACATACACAAATGTAGATGGTCAGTGTGTACAAATGATTTGCAAACACATCCACAAATAAGGCTAAAAAGTAGTTATTCAACAAATRGTGAACACAAAGTATCCAAATTGAGCTACTGGGAATAAAGGTAGAACAGAGAAGAGACTCAAAGCTTAAACATTTTCCAAAACTACAAGTGGTTTACTCTTTCTTTTGACTTCTGATGAACAAAAAAGTTATGAATGTTTCTGCTTAAAAAAAATTAAAAACAGACTAACGTTTAAAGCCTAACAATCTAATCAGTTTTCTGCACAAAGGCAGGGATGAAGGTCAGGAAAGAGCCTAGACAACACCATCTGACACATTTTTCACTATCAACGAAATGTTGGCATATTGAGGCAGGGCTTTATTTATTTTCCCTTTATTTGCTTGTTTACAGTTAAAGTTTTTACATCTGGAACTCTGAGCTTCTTTAGTATTGTGTTTACCACATTTAGATTTGAGTTTGATCTATTAGGAATTGGGGAAAAATAAAACCCTGATTCAATGTAACTGTATACATGAAGATTTTATTTCTCCTAAATTAATTTAGGCTTGTCTTCAATTTGAGTACATGGTGGGAGAAACATGGCACTGATCATATATGTTAAATGACAAATAAATAAATTAATATCTTGGAAGAATTTTATTTTGGTTCCATAAAGAATAGTGTTGACTTTAGTTCTTATATCTACAGATCATACAGATACTCATTCAATTTCAAATAAAACAGTTCAGTTAAATCCAATTAAATAACACAAAACAATCACAATTAAAAACAACAACACAGCATTAAGGAAAATAAAGGTAAAAGAGAGGTTATAAATCAAACAAAACCAAAGGTTGTGAGAAATCAATTGAACTGTATTTAGCTTTTTGCAACAGTTTCGATTATTTCTAACATAATCGTGCTATTGACTTCCTATTATGTAATTTAGAAAGAAAACAAGTTCTTCCTTCAACAACTGACAGACTAAGAAGTTTGCAGAGAATATATTGTATAGCCGGAATTTGTGTGTTGTTCTTTTTTTAACTCTTTTTTATTTATTTATTTATTTATTGTCTGCCTGCTGAGCATATTTGTATATTTACGGTTTCCTGGAGGAAACTGTGGGCTGAGTGTATGCTCTGTTCATGTGTCAGACAGCGACAAATAGTCAGCAAGCGTGTGAGAGAGCCGTAGTCAGTATGCAACATGTTGAGCAGCTGAACTCTGCCTTGATCTCTCCGGTCTGAAATTTGTGGCGAAACAAATCAAAAACTTGTTTTGTCAGGATTTCATTTTTATTTTGTTTGCTTCTTTTTAAAGCTAGACTCTCATTTGGATAACTTTCCCAGAGGATATAATGTTAAGGGAGCGCTCAGATTTTTGGACTTAATTGTTAACTTTTGGACATAACTTCGTCTTGTAGAGAACTCTTTTTCACATTTCACCCCTCCTCCCCTGTGGTATTTCCTGCTTTTATGTGTTTTTCTGAACCTGTCCTTGAGTCCGGATGAGTGTGCTACGCTGGCACCGGCTCTCTGCGCTCTGGAAGAGCTGGATGTTCAACCAGGAGCCAGCAGAAGAGCAGAGCCAGAACCCAGATGCTCCAGCGCATGAAGACGAACCAAATGAAACGGAAGGAGTCACATTTAAGGATTGCAGCTCAGATCATCAGAGCCGAACAGGAGCTAAAACCCAAAACTTGGACTATAGAAGACAGAAATCAGAAAATGACAAACAGAACCTGGATTTTATTGACCTAGATGTTGTTCCTAAGCTTCAAAAGTCAGAACTATTACAGCGCAGCTGCTCTGAACCCTGCTCTCAAGTCTCGAACGTGGATCGGTCATTCAACTGTTCACACGAACCTGATGGTTCCCGTAGAACCTTCCATTCTGAGGAGAGTGTCGACTGTGCATTGCAGGTGGATAACAGCAGTGAAGGTGACGACAATTTCCTGCAGAGAGAGGGGTCTCAGCGGCGGTCTAGAAGGCGGTTTAGGAGGGTGAACCCCAGAGGAGAGCGGGAACTTATAACAGATGGTCAAGAACCCGCCAGCTTCAACACGGTAAGAGAGAAACATTACCAGCTACAAAAGAAAATACTAACCTTTAGGGTTTACTTGTTACTTGTTAAATGTACAGTAAATATTGGAGTGCTAAACAACAACATTTTAACTTGTTTAGATTTTAATAGAAATGTGTTTAGATTGTAGACTTATCAGTAATGATTTGACTCTTGTAATAGTCTTTAAAACTTTAAAATTTAAAGATCCTTAAATATCTGCTACTCTGTAAGCTTATGACATCCTGTCTAGCTTTCACTCTCGGCAATAAGTCATACACGTTAGGAAATGTCTGCAGTTTTTACTTGATCATTTCTGTGTTTTTCTTTTAAATTTGCTGCTGGTAGACAGCCTACACATGCCAAAATTAGTCCCTCTTCAGAATAAAAATACAATTTTATAAGAGTGGATAGAAAATTATTGTTAACTTGAACTTTATCACCATATCAACAAAGTCAAAAAGTGTAATTGTGTTTATAGGATCCAGTGAAGGTTTCTCTTAAGGCTTGTTAACACTGGGAGCTGTTTTTCTTCAACAATTTCTGCATAAAAAAGTACTGATCTGTCCAGTATGTCCCTCACGTGAGAATGAGTTTCCCTCCTTCTGATAGGATCACCAAGGCCAACACTGTGTCAGTTACAGTTTCAGCTAATCATCAGAAGCCACACTTTGCCACACACAAACCAAAATGTTTTCAYACTGAAACAGCTGCAGACTGCAACACTTTAGTCCACACATGCTTTTCCCAGATTCTGCAAAGCTCCCTGGGGCGTCACAAAGGGGCTTAATGGAGAGCTTAAAAGTGTCCTTTGTCAACCCTACCTGCCTCTGCAGTCTCTTGGTGATTGTTCCACTTTTTAAAATTACATTTCTAGCCTTCAGCGACACCAAATCCCACCACATTCTAGTCTTTTGACTGCATTTAATATCTAACAGTCAATCCATTCTGATGAGTTGGCGCTGCAAAGACACAAATGTCCAGAAAATACATAAAATTAAAGGCTTTGGGATTAAATCTGAGCTGGGTTGGAAAGCAGGAGAAGCCATAAACATGTGGCTCGTGATTTGTTCACATTTTTAACACTCAGCGTTTAGACTTAGCGTTTAGTTTATTTACAGAAATGTTATTAATATGCACTGTCCCTGTAATAAGTAAAGCTTTGAAAAAAAAAAAAAGACAGTACTAATTTCAGTTTCATACATTTAAACACATTTGCAWATTTCATGTTTTGACTATATCCTGTTTCTCTCTTTTTTTCATGTTTGTTGGTTGCTTCATCCTCAGAATTATGTCAACAACAAGGTAGGAAGTAAACCAAACTAAAACTGCTTACAGTAACTTAGATTTATTGCTCATACTACTTGAACATGTAATAATTATTTTGATGTTGACATGGCCT